CCGGCGGTTTTTGAGGTTTCGTGGTTGGGAAGTGTCCATTGGCGTTGCGCTGCACCGCCAGGCTATACCTATATATTTGTCTACGCACTCATGCCCCAAAGCCGTTCGTTCCAACCAACGAACCGCATAATCCTTGACGAGAGATCCTCGTCAATCACGGCCCCGATGCGCTAGACGAATCGATACGAATTTATCTGCGGCTACTCCCGCGGACGCTTTCATTGTTGGTTCGGCTCTCTCGTCGGGATCACGAAGTCGATGAATCGAGCACGTTTTCGACATCGAGCGCTCTTGTGTTTCGACCGATCGCTCCGTTCCCACGATTTCGCGTTTCGAACCAGAGGGAAAAAGAAAAAAAGAGAAAACAAAATCCCCCCGGCACCTCGTAGAAGCAGCTTGACCGCGATGACACCGGAGTGGAAGAACTGGAGGCAAATTTGTTCCTATTCAACGCGATCGAGTCTATGTTTCTCGATCAGCTCTCGAGATTAAAACACAGATATACTACGAGAGATAGAGAGAGTTCCTTAGAAGAAAGAAACACGACTATTGATCGAAGAAACGATACGCGATGGAATGAATCGCGTTTCGTAACGTCGTGTACGAGGAAAGAAGTCGAAATCCACGGTGGAAATCCGTGGAAAACGATTATGCCTGGCAAAGGGAGGAGGACCTCTTGGTCGTCTGCTTGGCGAAAGAATCTCCGTGGAGGTGGTCCGTGAACCAAGGTGGGTACCAGAAGGGTACCGAAGGAAGCATGGAGTCCTGTGTTGGGCGCGGGTAACTTTTTTGCACCGCGAAATGGCCCGGAGAATGTCATCCAATGAGGGTGAAGTAAAGGGAAAACAAGTAAAATAATGATAAAAGGCGGAGCCCGCGGCGTGATTTGATTGGTCGAGATATCGCCGGCGTTCGAGTCAACCCGCGAAGAAGAGGGGGTTGTCCTCTCCTTTCTCTCTCCTCGTCTTTCTCTCTGGTCCCCGGCACTCTCTCTCTCGTTTTCTCCTTCCTCCTCTTCGTGTGTTTCACTCTCCCTCTCTCTTTCTCTCCTTTTCTCGTCTCCTTCACGTATCTCGTCTCGTTCCGCCCGCTAGGTACGCTCTCTCATACGCTCGCACCACGCATACACCCAAGCCTGGCTTTATTCTCCTCTCTCCGTCGGTCCATGCTCAGCGATCGTGTCCTCACTCTGCCAGAACCATCGGTTCTCTCCCCTCTCTGCTACTTTCTGCCCTCTTCGATCTTTTCTTCTTCTTCTTCTTCTTCTTCCTCTTCCGTCGTCGTCGTCGTCGTCGTCGTCATCTTTCTTATTGCTCCCGTTCGTTTGCTCGCGAGAACTCGAGGATACTTTACTCGTCGGTGTATAAATAGGCGCGACTGTCCGTGATACCCGCGTGAAATATAGATTTCAGAGCGATAAATCTGAAGGAACTGGATTTTAACCTGTTAACTGGATCCACTTTTCGCGGGAGCGTTCAGTCTCTCAAAGTATGACAAATATCGCCGGCTATTCCGAGTTGAGAATTTTTCGTATAATCGTGCCGAATAGGTAGTATCCAGCTGTTGTCAGAAAGCGAAGAATAACCCGTCACTGAACCATATGCGTCTAACACAGGTCAAAGAAATGATTAGCGCAGCGAGAATTCTGCGGCCGTCACGTGTTCGGCACGGGGTGAGGGTGGTATTTGTGGCGGAAAAGTATATTGACTCGTGATACGCCATCTGTGCGAAGGAAAGCCACCCCCTGCGGCAGGGCGTTATTGGCAAAATTAATAAGCCCCGTGATCGCGGTAGGTTCGAAATGGGAAGTGGTTAATTCTGGCTTTGCTCACGAGGCTCGGGATGTTGGCGGATTAGAAACCTTTCCAAACGAATGGAAATTGTTTGCTCGACGAGAATTAACGTCGGCACACCAGAGAGGGGTTGCCTCCCGGTGCTACCTCGCCTCCTATCCTAAAGAAGCATCGGTCATAAATTATTGCCAGCTTCCGTCGATGGATTCAGTTGCCGTAATCTCGAATACTCATTATGGCGCATTAAGCGGGACAAGTTCTCCAAATAAGCATCGAAAGGTTTGTCGATTAATTGCCGCGCCGGTAATTTGTCGTATACTGATTTATCACCGTTCTATCCATAATCAATTCGAGCCTTCCTTTCCTCTCTTCTTTCCTGTACTCTCCAAGTCTCGAGTGGAGAGAAAAAAGAAAATCATCGATACACGTGTTCGTTTACGAGCAGTCTTCGCGACCACCGACCACAAGCGAAATAATTATAACGAACACGGTCGACTACGCCATTAGCCGCTGCGGACACCGATTTATCGTTCGTAACGTCTTAACGATCGAGCGAAATGCCGAATCGAAATTACGCAGAGCAGAGAGAGAGAGACTTCTTCCCTGCTCTTTTCACACGTCGCGTCGGAGCGTGTCGCGAGAGGGCGAGAAGCGGCTCCCGAAAATTAACGCCACCGCGAATCAAGACGACAATGTGATTCATCAGTTAAATCCGCGTGCATAATCCTTTACACAGCGTCCGATCCCCGTCCACTAACGGCACCGAGCATAGATGGGGATGAAACGGCGGAGGAGAAACCGGGGTTGACGATGGCGGTTGGTTCTGTCAGCAGGGACTACGAATTATAATCACAGTTGTAGTGGATCGAGGTGGACCATGGAAGAGGTGGAGGAGGAATAGGTCGGAGGTGGAGGGCGACGACGACGACGTCGTTCGTCCGCTCGTCCGCTCGAGGGGATGGAAAAGGGTGTATTTACCCAGCAACGGTATACACCGGCGCCACCGAGGACGGACCTAGATGGAAATCTGCGGCATTCAGAGGCACTGGCCAAGAAAATTGGCTGACAACATTTCGCACGGCCGCCGAATTGCCGATCCCCGTCCCCCTTCCTCTTTCTCGAGGTCGCGTTCACCGATATTTACGCCGGACGAGCTTCGCGTGTCCATCTAATCGCACCTCCGTTTCGTCTTTTTCTTTCCTGATACGATATATCGCGGTTTACGCCATTCCTGTCCCACCTATCTCTCGCGCTATCGAATTCACTTACTGTTGCTTCTTTAACAACTCGTACAACCAATTCCCCCTATGTGCGTCGAAAAAATTTACGTTTATCGCTCGATTATCGTACGAGAAAGTTGTTTCGCAGCGAAGGAAAAAAAGTGAAAAAAGAAAAGGTCGGGTTGGTCTGAAAGTGACAGATCGGCTAACGAGCGAGGTCGCGCGACTCTATGGAGAACTGGTCGCGTTTATTTCGGTAAAAGGCTCGGAGGCGTTTCCAGCGAGAGGCCCTAATGATCGCCTCGTGCCGGCAACCGGCGAATCCCGACCAAATAAATCCGGCTTGATTGAATCATTGTTAAGCGAAACCGCGTTAAATACCCGTGAAATTAACCCGGACGATCCTGTGCGTGGCACGCGATCGCTGATTGGCTCGAGGGTATCGCCTTTAAAGTGCCATTAGAGAGCACCTCGTTCTCAGCACCGAAACCATTGATTAATGACTTGTCCGCAACGTCATCTCTTACAACAGAATCTTCTGCCAACGCATCCTCCAAACGATCTTCTTGCTTCCCTCCTTTTTCACTCGATACACGGAGAATTTCTCCGAGATAAATCGATATGACGGGAAGGTAAACAAACCATTGTCCAGCGACAAACCTGTCGTATCCTTTTCATTCCATTCCTGGCCAATTCTATCTTCGGAGGTGGCTCTGATACAGTCGATAGGTGGACATTAGGGTGATGGCGCGGACATATGGGAGCGCCATGTGGTCACCAGCGTATCGTAGGACGAAAGCAAAGCAAGGATAGAGAACGAGAGACGGAGAGAGGATAGAACCCCCGGCTAAGCGACCGCAAGAGGTGACGGGGATATAGGAGGCCAGAGATTCAAACGGATCCGATGGGCTAAACGTTCACCGCAATTTGTAGCAATTTGTTAAGTAGCCGACCAGAACATTACCTATATTGCGTTTACTCCCCTTGACCGGAAGATATACGGTGGGGGTACGCGGAGATTTATCGTTCCAAAGGATGGAATAGATCCTGAGTAAAGGAGTCACGACCCTGACTCTCTTGCTACACTTTCCGGCGAAACGATGAACGTTTTGGAAATTCCGTGGATAGAGAACCGTGTGTCGATTCATTATAGAAAGAGGAATGAAAATAGGTCGACCTCGTTTCATCGACGCTTCGACGTTTTCGTCGAGTCGGCAGCGCGGAAAAGCTCTACAGGCGAGAGAGGACCGAGGGGGGGGGATCCGGTGTAACGCAAAGATTCCGTGAAATGGAGGCTGGGTGGCTGGCAGACAATTTAAATCGTAGGTAAACGTCGAGGGAACTCGTTTTATCCCCGGCGACCTTATCGAAGTCTCCTCTTTCTCTTATAGAAGAGGACTCTTCTTCCGTTGGTTGGACTGTGCTTGTTGGTAGAAGGAGGGCGAACGAAGATTCGAGAGCGAAACGACGTTCGGTCTTTCGTGGATGCTTTTAGTCGATGAGTTTCGCTTCCCTACGTCCCGTTTCGCTTTCGTCTCGTTCTGTAGCATCGCTGTCCTGGCCTAACCCAGCTTTCTCATCCATATGTAACAGTCGCCTGGTATTAATGACAGGGGGAGAGAGAGAGACGGAACAGGGCATGTTAGGTTCTTTATCCTAGATGCTCCCGCTTCTCCTTCTTCCTCGCCGCTGTTCCATCCTCCTGTTACCAGAGTATTGCGGTTTTATCGCCGGTCTTTTCATTATCTGATAAATATAATGGAATTATTCGTTTCCTATTTGCTCCACCATTACATCACCCTGTCCCATTCCGATTGGCAATAGGTTATTCGGAACGGCCACGCCTTTCCACCGCACCAAATTCTTTCGAGCATTGTCATCGATTGTCAACGACAACTTTTCATTGTAAGAAAAGTGGAACATGGAGAATCTGGACCGTGAACTTTTGCAATTGCTACACCCAAGTGTTCTTCTCTTTCTGTTACAGACGGTGAAAATTTGAGGACTTGATTTACGAAGACGGAGAAGAGGAAGGAGAAGGAGAAGGAGAAGAAACGCACAACGAAGCACGTGAAGGTAATAAAAGAATATATTAAACGCAAGTTTACTACTAACAAAATCACGTTCCAAGAGACGCACAGACATCAAATTATCCTCCGTCTGCATGACATCCGTTTCTCGATTATTTTGCACGGAAGACCACCCTGTACGGCCCCTCGGGTTAAGTAATAATCTCGTAACGGATGAATAGGTAAAAATGGACGCCGTTGACCTGGCATCCGGAGAGCGAACGCTGACGAATGACCGTGTTAAATGGTAAACGAACGGTGGAAGGTGAAGGGAAAAGGTGCGATACGCGTGTCGATTCGATGTCGAAGGAAGCCAGGAACCTTGACGAAAAGCCAATGGAGAGGAATCTGAATAGCGACGGCATCCTTTCTAACGCGACGCGGACATATGTCAGAGTTAATCACAATGAACAGCGGCACAGGTTGGAGATTGAAGAGGACGAGACCTCCAGACACCCAGGCAGTTTTTCAACCGTTTCGTCGAGTGGTTGATAAAGAGCCGGCAATCGGTTAGGCTTTTTAAGCGAGGCGCGATGACGGCCACTTACCTGCAACTCGGTGGCACTTGGACGAGCCTCGACAATCGTCTGAAAAGACCAGGAAGAGGATCCCGGAGGGAGGGGAACCAGCGCGTTTGTCCTTCTCAATGCTCTCTGCTCATCCGTCCACGATCAGTTACGGTCTTTTTCGAAGGAATTTTCTTTCTCCTCTTTACTCTCTCGTCTTGCACAATACCGAGAGAAGAAGGGTCACGTACCATCCGCGACAATTCTACGTTAAAATAACAATTCTACGTAATAGTTGGCGAAGCTAGGGTACAGTGCAACAGAGTGTACACACTTGCAGCTAGGCGCCATTTTCACGGGGAGAGAACTTTTCACCGGCGATACTGGCATAAGGTTCCATTAACAGTTAAGTAGGATCGATTCGATTCGTGCTTCTGGTAAATGCTCCCAGTGCGGCAGTTAGTCTCTCTCTCCCTCTTGGTCGTTTTTGCACGAGCGTTAACCGTACAAATTACACGAACGTAGGACCCCATGTCCCGAGAATACCAGGCCGAATGTTGGCTGCCCCGCGGGATGAAACGCGTGGAGAGAGAAGAGAATGAAACGAAAGAGGAATAGAGGAAGAACGAGTCAAGATTCGAACATGTGGCATCATTTGTTACGTGCAAAGTGGGGTTCGCCGGTTGGGGCATGGGTTATCTAAGCTCGCTTAAACGCGCCCACGTAACCGGAAAACCAATGGCGCAAAGGAACGAGGAGTCGGCGAAGCATGTAAACGGCTCGTCGTCTCTTGTCACGCTAACGCTGTGGGCTGACACCGATCGGGGAAAAGAGGAGGAAATACCTACCCCTTTTCTGGAGGGGCCAAACTTTTTTCTCCTGGAAGAATTTTTCGGCATAAAAATGAATTTTCCAACGATCAGAGAGAGAAAGAGGAAACGTGGAAAAATCTTGGCTCGATCGCGCTGTTATCAATTGCCAAGTATAAAAATGACGGTTCGAGGGGTAGAAAATGTGGAAAGAGCGTGGAATGGACGGGGAGCGCGTAGCAACTACTACTCGATGGGGATCTCGGTTTCCGTGGACATATGGTCAGCCGTGGCTTGCCGTGACAAAAAAGCGCTACAGAAACGGCGACAGAAGTTGGGAGTGTCGGCGAGCGATATATCAGGGCTTAAACTGTCCCGTCGTAGCAGGCATGTTCTACCAGCGTGGTCCTCCGCACCCTGCCTGCCTGACTGACTGTGGATGGTCTGGCTGGTTAGCAGATTCGCTGGTTGGCTGGTGCACGTATGGCATTGCGTTCAACAGGGGTGCTGGCATTAGTTAATAGGACTCTGCTTGGCTAGATCGGGGACGCAGGATCTCTTCTCCTCTGCACCGACAGGATAAAAGGTGGCCTGTCTAACCGAGTGCGGTTTCCAATCTGTTGGGTTTTTACGCCTCGAGTCTAATGGGGAGGATTATCGGGCCGATTTCACCTATTTTCCCCGATATTTCTTCCCGCCACCTGATTCTCCTTCCTTTCAACCACCGTATTCAATTGCAGGCTACCATCTAGATTGCGATTCTTCGAATAATCAGGGGTTCGAATAAAATGCTCCTTGCTCTTTTTGGGTGCGCACTAGCCAAAGGGAGGGGAGAGGTGGCAATTTGCTCGGTTTGTTGAAAAATTGTCAGCGAAGCAGAACGCGCTTTAGGCCGAGAGAGAGAGAGAGAGAGAGGCGCGTAAAGGCAAAGCTAATCAGAAACGGAGTCCACTTCTTGTCGCCGGAGAAACTTCATTACGCATTCAGCTTGGCGCCGGGATTATCATATCCGGAGAGTCCTTTGACGAGGTTCCTCGATCCCCACGGCAAAGACTCGAAAGACTCGAAAAATATAAAACTCGAAGAATCTGCGCGACGCCTACGTCTGCGAGAGTCGACCTGGCTACCAGAAACGACGACGACAAACGACTTCCAGTTAGAAGAGAGCGAAGCTCATCGTGGACGCGCGATGAATAAAAATCGTTTGAAGTATCGCAAGGTGCAAATTAACGCATAATCGTCAAACGTAATGAGCGGACGGCGTCGACCTGACGTAAACGAGCCTCGGACCGAGCGGAATGTCTCTCTGCGAACGCTCCGCGCACTGCTTCGCGAAACTTTGATTATTTTTGTAATAACTTGGGTCTGGCTTCTTCCTTCTGACTCTCCTCGAGCTGACCGATTCTTGCTCTCACGTACACGTACACGTCGTTACGCGGTAATTATTCATCGAGGTTCTGCACCTGCGTGCGGAAAACTAACGAGGACACGAGAGAGGAACGTGTCGTCGATCCAACGTGATCGCGGACCGACAGGAGTCAACGAAGCGTAAGAAATGGGCGAGCGTTTAAAGGCTTTTTGTAGCCGACGGGTTCGACCCCGAGGAGGAGAAAGAAACCGAGGAGTGGAAAAGAGATGAAAGGAAAGGTAGAGAGAGAGAGAGAGAGAGGGGTTGCTTTTTCCACGGTGCTTACGCAACCCTTGCTCGATGCCGGAGCACGCGGTATCAATTAATTCTCTCTCTCTGTATATATCGGAGAGAGGAATCGAAGCATTGTGAGGAGAACGGTTTCTCGGTGACTAGAGGGCCAGCTACGCCTCGACCGACGGCCACGCTCGTTTTCTCTCGTGACGGCACGTGCCGTGCACAATGCCACCGAGTGACTGGCGTGCACGACTTCTACAGGGCATCATCGACGACGATCGACACGGTCTCGCGCCCTTTTTCGCCCGCACACGCCCACCCCTCGCCCAGAAATACCGAAGGCAAACAACAGCACCGTTGTCAAAAACCATTTCTTTCCTCCTTCCTTCCTCTCCCTCCCTTTTGTCCTTCGTCTGCGCCGAATATCCCTCTTTGTCTATTCCCTGCTTTAGGGATGGACAGTGGGCGGGTCTGTCCCACGCGTTCCCAAAACCGTTGCCCTGTTTTTATTGCCCCTGGATATTAACGAGATCGCGACATGGTATGCCTCGATACCCGTAAACCTGTCTCTGAACCGCGAAGGGTGTTTTTGACAGAAGAGCCCGCATCGAATTGGAAGTTGATCGGGAGTAAGTAGGTACGTTTCAAGGGGGACACGTTGCCGCAACTTTTCCTCCGGTTCTTGCGAGATTCCTGGATTCGTGGATTTTTAATGCGGCGAATACTCATCAACTTCTTCTCCGTGGCGAACGGAGGATCGTTCTAACGAAGGATCGCCTTGTTTGGTCGTGGAGCAAAGAAAGAGGGGCGCTCTCCATCTGCATTCTGCTCGCCGTCAAGGCTTTCCTCCTCGCCGACAAAGTGGAGTATTTGGAGAAACAAACTTGGAATCCTATTTGGGAAGGAGGGAGGGAGGGAGAGAGATCCATTAGCGATTTACATCGGCCCCGATTCCGGGCAAAATCATCACTCGTAGCTCGTTCGTCACGATTGGTCAAGCCCCGAGGGCAGTGATTTGCGGTTCGTATGATCGAGAGCGAAGTCTCGTCTCGTTGTGAATCGGAAACAGAAGGGGGCTCGGCGAGTGATTCGAGCAGGAATCGACGGTTCGATCAGGCGTGAACTCTTCTGGAGGATGTATCGCGATGATGAATCGGGCTTGCGAGAAACCCAGCCGAAAAGATCGTGGCACGGTTCGCGCGATACATCTGCTGGTTCAGGCGGAAAAACCGCAGAGGAATCTTTCGTTGGGAAAAACCGAAGGCGTGGCTGATGGATGAAGATCGATGCCGTGTACGCGACGCATCGTGCACCACGTCGCGTCCTGTCCCCTTTCCCCTTCGCCCACGCGATGTCGTTACACCTCATATCCTCCTCCGTCGACTTAATATCCTTCGACACGTGCGCGAAGATCCCGCGTGGAACACGCGCCAGGTGCTTTGCTCGAATTTCTTCCTTCCTTTCTTATTTCTCCTATCTTCTTCTCTTTTTTCCAAATGGTCGCTTAAACTATTTTTACGCTAGAGAATAAGGTTTGGAGGAAGAACGGGGAACGGCGGTGGAAGGAGCGCGGGGGGGTATTGATAGAAGACACGCGAGTTCGTGTGAAAAAGCTGCATAAATTGCCAAAGTTTGTGGCGGAACGGAAGAAACTACCACCGAGGGAACGGTGGTCTCAGAGCGGTGAAAACAGGAGAATTCGCTCGGAGAATCGAGTTGTCCTTTCTTTCTTACCGCCGTATGCTCTCGTTCGAGTTATTCTTCGATGAACTACAGTTTCTTCGCTGACTTTGAATCTATTCAAGGAAGTATGGTCGTCAAGATGTTTCTGCCAAACTTTTCTCCTCCTATATTTCACTCTTTTTCCTCTTCGTACGATGCCCGTTAAACCGCGAACAAAGAATCAACAAATTTCGTACTTTATCGCTGTCCGTTCCAAATTTATCGTAAACAATCCCTCGTCGACGATATGAAATGGAGAGACCGAGAGAGAATCAGAGTATTGTCTGAATATTATTTCCCCCCCCCCCCCGAATAATCGTTCTTT